CGATATTCCTTACCCTATTTATGACCTGACCAAAAATTCGAAACCCTATTTATGACCTGACCCTTAATTCAAAACCCTGTTTCAGACCTGCGTTATAATTAGTTCCCTAGTCCATACCAATGTTAATTTACCGTAAACATAACCTGCGAAGGGCTTTTGTTGATTTTCTTTTCGATAATGATGAAAAAGTAGCTTCTTTTTAAAAACATACCCATATCAAGACTAGAGTGCAAAAACCATACCCTATTTATGACCAAAACGGCCGAAAATCCATACCCTTTGGGGCCGCACTTACCTATGTGGCCCATATAAGGGAATACCCCCCCCCCGGGGTTTCAATACCACACTTAATGGTAAACATGCAATCAGATATTTAGGAGTTTTGTTATGGCACAAACTCAGTAAGGACATAAGAGATGCCTTCACTCTAACTACTTTCCGAAACAGAATCAGAAAACTTAACTAATAACAGTAATTGCTAAATAATTTTAATACTTCTTATCATTTTAGCATTATTAGTACTTAAGGCCCTTGTGTAAATAATTTTAATAATTTTGATTATTTTAGCATTTACTTTTTAGTACTTAAGGCTCTTGTTTAGTGTCCCCAATTAGTCCGCTAGAGCTAACTACATTTTCTTATCTTAGCGGCTTCGAATTGGGCCATATAGTCCACAATCAAAGACCGGAGGCACTGAGAATAGAGAATTCAAGGTAATGGTGGCAACTCCTCTTCAGCGCGCAGCTGCCTTGGGCTCTATTGAAGAAGCAGAGAAACTGATATTAACTGGTGCAAAACCGGATGTTCAGACCAGGCGTGGCCGCTCTGCACTTCACTATGCGTCGGAGAATGGGCATGAAAAGATACTGACGCTTTTGATAACGTCAGGAGCACAAGTCGACCTTCCTAACAAATGGGGAAGGACAGCGCTTCATTATGCTGCCAGTAAGCACAGGGTAAATTGTCTTAAAATTCTCATCAAGAATGGGGCAGATCCGAATAAACAGGACGTAGACCACCAGACGGCGCTTTACCACGCGGTAGCTGCGTCAACGAGACCTCAACAAGAAGACAAAGCTCTTGATACTGTTGCAGTTTTAATATCGGGTGGTGCAAGTTCCAACATTCCTGACAAAAGTGGAATAACACCACTTCATGTGGCCGCCGAACTCGGCAACACACAGATCTGTGTTCATTTGATGGAAGACGGAAGAGCCCAAGTAAATGCAATCGACCAGCATGGGGCGACACCGCTGCACTATGCTGTTCACCAAAGTCGTTGGCATGTCGCAGAAGTCCTTCTTACGTTTGGTGCTTGTTCCAATGTCCAGGACAATGCAGGCCTCTCGGCAGATAGCCGCATAGAAACACGCGGGTATATTGTAGCTGTTGATCTAAAAACTCTACCTTCAGGCGGACGTCAAGGGCATGCAGACAGCGGGTTTAAAGAAGAGCATTCGCGTGAACTTCGATGCTACCTTAGAGATGAATTCGGCAGGCCTATTCCGTTTGATGAGGAGTTTGGTGAAAGACGAAAATTTGGAGCTGGGGAAGCACTTCCTACAGAAAGAAATAAAGTGTCACTGTTAACCGGTGACCTGATGATGGTGGTTGATGTGAACTCTTGTCTCATCAGGCTAAACGAAACAGAGGGTTTAGGGCTTGTAAAGCGAACTTCAGAAGTAGAGAGAATAGAGAGAGACATCAGTAGTTATATCAAGGCTGCATTGGAAAGCATGATCCTGGAACAACCGAGGTTTCAATGTAATCTTCTCCAAGCTGGTAGCACTGCGGAAAATACCAAGGTTGGTAAGCCGGACGAGATCGACTTTATGTGCATTTTGACTGAATTGTCGAAAGCTAGCTACCCTTACGAGTCACCCAGTGATCCTCCTGGATATCTGAGAATTCGAATGCACAGCCAGGAAATGGAAAGGTGGAAAGACTTCTTAGACAGCGATGGTTTTCTGCTCGCAGAGAAACTGCATCTACAATTCCATTCTCTTTTTGACCTACACTCAGAGAACGCTGATCTGACGGCAATGAGCACGTGTCTACACAAGGTTCGAGACTACAGTCACCAGGCAAAGGGTGGTGTGACTGTGGATATGTCCCAGACTAAGCCCGGGTCGCGGTTGTTCTTCCTGTGGCGCGGATGTCAGTTCAAGCGGGTGGTGGTCACAGTTGATCTCATTCCCGCTATTGAAATCGCCGGTTGGCCCAATAGTGCCATGAGACCTCCAGACACGGGATCGGAACAGTACCATGTCATTCCAAAAGTTTCCCCATCAATTCAGAACAGTCCAAATGCTGGATTATATTGGCGAATTTCGACTTCCATGGCTGAGGAACGAATTTTCTGCGCAATGGATAGCTCTCCTCGCTCCTGTTATACAATATGCAAATCTCTGATGCAATGCCCTGATCCACACCTTCTGTTTCCTGAAAACGTGTGCGCTGCAAACAAGGAACTGCGACTACTAATGTTCACTGTACATCGTTTACGCTTGTATGACGACTTTATAAACTCGTATCTAATCAAGATGATTTTTTGTCGAGAGAGAATGGACCAAAAAGAAAAGTCCAATTGGTGCTGGAGTGCGGTTGGAAACCGGGTTTCAGAGATACTCAACAAACTGATGAAAGAACTGAAGCAAGGCTATGTTCCGTCGCATTTTATTCGCGATTATAACGTGCTAACCATCTCTCGCTAAGTTATTTTATTTCACAAAGCTTTACCAAGGGTTTGGAGGAGTTGCATTTCTTAAAACCCAATCCAAATTCTTAGCTTGCCAATCAGTCGCAGACTAGTCACAACGAACGATAATAATGCAACCAGCCAATCAGAACTTGAATTAGAGAACAAGCGTGCAACCATATAGTGCAACTGCCAAGCGCGGGAAAACGTGGGTATAAGAAGCCGCGTAAGCCAATCACGAATGATGGATTGATTGAATGATTGGGCGTGCTAGTATTTTTGCTTTAATTAATTGCAACATTTTCTGAAACTGATTCACCGGGAGTTCAACGAATGTAAATCCTCCTTCCTCCTTCCTCCTTCCTCCTTCCTCCTTCCTCCTTCCTCCTTCCTCCTTCCTCCTTCCTCCTTCCTCCTTCCTCTTTACTTTACTTTTTAAGAGACTCAGATATTCCCAAAGCTAACTCTGTGGACTACTCGGCACAGCAGACTGGTTCTGGACATACAAATTATTATGCCGCGCGTCAATAAAATTGGCACTACAAGTGCATGTCGCGGAAGATAATAGCATCCTGGGCGAAGTGTAAAATTTATTATATCCGCCGGGAGTAGATGATGTATCCATCGCCAGTGACCCATCCACTTATTAACCCTTTCCAACAGGACTTAACTTACCTGATCTACCGACAACCGGTACTGCCCGCCTTGGGCTACTACTTCGCCCCTGAGAAAATAAGGAAATTTTAAAAGTTTTAACCAATCGTATAAGAATAACGATTACACAGTAGATAACTTGTCTTGCGTAAGGTACAGCATCACTAGCGATTTTTAGTGAGGAAAATACAATGAAAACAAAACTGAGACAGAGGAAGTCCTGGAGGCTGCAATTTATTTTCCTTGTTGGCTAAAGTAGAAAAGACCAGGATTTTTGAAAAGAAACTTGAGTAAAATTTTGAAAGCTGCGAATCTGTAATATGTTCCTTAAGAGAAAAAATTCCCGGGAAACAGACATTTCTAGCTTTCCGGATATTCCGCAGTAAATGATCTAATTGCAAGGCCACGAAAACCCTACCCACTCAGGGAAGCAATGAAGGCAAGATAGGCGAGATTTATATTGCTCCAGAATAAGTATTTTTATTAATATGAGTTAGTTCCTTTATCTCAAGCGTGGACACAAAAGCACTTTTATTATTCAAAAGCACGATTTATTATTTCGGTATAGCCTTCACTTGTTTTATTAGGTAAACAGGTAATGGCCTCGAAATTAGAGTTATGAAATTTCAAAGTTGGTGGAGTTTTTAGAAGCGTTTAGAAAACAATGGCGTCACGGTAATAATGCGAATTCTCTTACCGAGTTTTCCTCAAACACAGTCGACTTGAATTCTAACAAATGGGGAAGGACAGCCTTCATTATGCTGCCAGTAAGCACAGGGTAAATTGTCTTAAAATTCTCATCAAGAATGGGACAGACCCTAATAAACAGGACGTAGACCGCCAGACTTCGCTGTAGCACGCGGTGGCTGCGTCAACGAGACCTCAACAAGAAGACAAAGCTCTTGATACTGTTGCACTTTTATTATCGGGTGGTGCAAGTTCCAACATTCCTGACAAAATTGGAATTACACCACTTCATGTGGCCGCCGAACTCGGCAACACGCAGATGTCGTTCATTTGATTAAAGGCGGCAAACTCTTATTTTTATGTAAAACGAGATATAAGATTCTCGACTTTTTGTCATTTTGGATTTCAAATACAAACCCCAATATTTGAAACTTCGCCCATCATATTCGTTTTTCGAGCCGTCCTAATGCGAAAAATCAAAAACTGTTCAGACTGTTTAAGAGATTAATTTTGACCTAAAACCAGATGGTAGCTTGGTATACGCGTTCATCGGTCGTACTAGACAGGAAGTAATCAGAGAAGTCTCCTATTGTACAATGTTGGTAGATTTGCTTTCCCTAACAGCTGCTGGTAGGTAGACAACTTATCTCTAAAAACCAGAAACAGGACACAGTCCCCACTCCTGTAATCACTCTAATCTGAGAGTGTCCGAGGCTCTGCAAAAATGCCACAGTAGGTGGCAATATGTAATATGAGGGAGAATAGCTGCTTTGTAGAGGTGTAATTTGGCCTCAGTTGGTATACGATTCCTCAACCTCCTGATCACTCCAATTCTCTTGCTAGCTTTCTTACAGACATTACCGGGAGCCATAATCGGGGACGGAGATCCGCGCGCACCTATGATATGGGACAATTTTTCTTTTTTTAAAACAAATTGCGCCATCCTGACGTCATATATCTGATCCACGCACATGTCGGAGGCTCTCGCGTGACCTCTCGCGTGGATGTTGTCACCTTGCGTGATCAAATGGTGGGGGTTGCAAGATTCTCTTGCAGATTTTTAACAGCGATGACAGGGAATAAGGCAGGGAATAAGATCCAGGGCTCGTATATGTAGTCTTATGCTCTGAGCTACTGGAAAAGGTGAGTTTTTCAGGGTCGAAAACATGACTTCAATATCGCGCTGTGAATGAATAATATCTACTCGCGCTAGTTGTACGCGTCATCTTTTGCGCTTGTTCTGTAAAGAAAAGTTATGTAAGAAAACTCTTTACTCTGGTATCGAGTTAATCTGTGAGTGTCCCAAACAATGCTTAATCATAACTAAACCCTGCTTCTGATAGTTTCTTATTGTTTCTGTATGTTTGGCGAGTTTGCAAAAGTTTTTGAAAGGAAAGTGTGACGCGTACAAGTAGCTCATTTGCATAGTGCAGCGCGTACATCGGTGTCAACAAATCTTGACAAAGATTTCTTTCGTTGTCTTTTGTGCCGAGGTGCTGCAACAATTTTCACCACGCCAAAAGGCTACTAGCATCATGTGTGTTTCTTTAACATAGTGAAATTTTACACTGCGAAAATAAAATAGACAGCGAGTTTTGATAACTCAGCCAACAAAATCGACATCGTTATTCGAGATCATAAAGAAAGCGTCATCGTAATTTTGCCGATTATTTCTCCTGTTTTCACATATTTTCAGCTAAGCTTTTAATATGTTCTCAAACATTTATCAACCTTGAACATATTTAAAAACTAGAGTTCGATGTACGTTTCCACACGAAAGTGGGGAATTCCAATTTGTCATGTTTTACTGACTGTACAAAACACGCATCGGCGGGCGCTCTTATTCATCGACAACAGACAATTTAAAAATTTATTGGATTTTTACACAAACAAAACTGAGCAGCATCTACAGACATAAACTTAATTGTCACTTATTGGGCCTTGATAAAACAGCAAGCGTTGCTTACAATTCAGGCGAAACTCAAACTTGCAATTATTATTGTTTTTTTTTTACTTTTCGGTCTAGATAGTCAGACTCTGGTGAAATCCTCGCAAGCGTGTGCCAAGAGGAGGGTAACTTTTAAGTCCTGAAACGCTGCTATATCCAAATATTTCCAAATAGTTTTTTGCTGTGTTTTGGAAAAGCTGTTAATCTTCAACATATGTGAAACTAAGAGTGGAGTAATGTAGAGCTCTTGTCAAAGAAGCAGCGGAACACAACTTGGTCAGTGATATAAAGCGGCACATAACTAAATTCGACACTGTCTTCCTTCACTCAAACTGGAGCAGCTTACGACGAAAATACTGAAGTAAAATTCCAACAGACATGAACGTATTGAGTTGTGGGCCAAAAGCATCAAACATTTCGGTAATTTCGGACGCCTTTTTCCCGCGCAACATCCACAAAAATCCTCGCAGTATGTGCGCGCGTGTGCCGCACGGGATGGCGCAATTTGTTCTAAAAATAGAAAAATTGCCCAGTATCATAGGGACAGCCCCAATACTAGAAATGGCGCGCGCTTACGGTCTCCGTCCCGGATTTATGGCTCCTGACATAACTAATATGCACATTAAAATTAAGATCGCAATCTATCGTTACGCCCAAGAACCCTAGATGGATGTAGTGGCTGCCATCTTTGTAACTCATTATTTTAATTTCTCTTACTGTATATTATTTTTAGATAGTTCTACTTAGGTGTCCCCTATTAGCAATGGGGATTCTCCACTGCTAGATGTAATTGACACGACAATAAAGTCGTCATCATCATCATTATTATTAGTATTATTATTAGTATTATTCTTAGAGTAAAACATTTTAAAACAGCTTAATTATAAAACACTAAACTTCTTTAGGTTGTTGTTACTTAAGGTTTATATCCTTAGTGCGCTATTTGCGGTATTAGAAACCCCTTCAGAGAGAGGGAGAGCTACTCAAAAAGGCTTTTTATGGTCGGTGCTGCCCATAAGTCAAAGCCTTAAACAAGGTCAAAACAGCAGAGTGAAAGGACCAAATTCTGAGAACTCAAACCGCGTGCGCTCGACTCCGGGATCGAGTCCTGGCCGGGGAAATTGTGTTGTGTTCTTGGGCAAGGCACCTTACTCTTACAGTGCCTCTCTCCACCCAGGTGTATGAATGGGTACCGCCGAACTAAATAAATGCTGTGGCTAACCCTGCGATGCGTCATAGTGTATTTTTGGGTCAGGGGCAATGTTCCTTTTGTTTAATTTGCTCTGTTCTGCTCTCAAACGGCATCGAGCCACGTTCAAATAGGTATAATTTGAGGTTGTATTATTCTATATAAAGTAAATGTTGGAGACAAAAATGGATCGAGAAAAGAAACGGTAAACGAATGGAGACAGAACAAACCCTTTTAATGATCAGCCTTTATTTATCCCCTTCTAAAATTATTTTAAATCAGGTGCTTACAAGCAAGTCCTGCCTTAAGAATTCCCAAATTCACCCAATCACTTCAGCGTTTATATGTTTTCAGCTAACCCGGCATTACATTGTTACTAAATTAAGGCCGTCATTTCATTCATGGAGACAGACGTCATTTCATTTGCCTGAAAAAGGGAAAGTTGATATGATATTAACAGGGTATACAGACAATAACCTTTATTTGGCGCGAAAATATGCTCGGATATTTGGTAACCTATCCTCCAAATAAAGACACGCCAGACCGGTTTTCACCTGAGTGTCGAAAAGTAATTGGTTTTGCTTTACTACGCTACACGATTGGCTCAAACAAATCGCGCCACTTTTTCATCCAATCAGAAGTAAGAGCAAAACCAATCGTGACTCGCTCGCACACCTTTTCCCGCGCTTCGCGTCAGGTACGTGTATTCTGTTCGAGTCTTGAGATTGGTTCATTGGATTTTTTTGTGACCTTTGTGATTGGCTAGATTGATTGGTTTGGGTTTGGTTTTAGGACGCTTCATTGAAAAGCGCTCTAAAAGAACTGGTATTTGTGGCGAAAATATCCTCTATTTTAGTAAAAGATTGTAAACGTATTTATACATCTTAGCGATGGTACGGGCATATTAAAATGGCATAAATCACAACATTTAGAATTACCAACAGCTCCTGTGAATTGAAGGTAATTGTTAGCGCCTTCTTACGTCCAAACCTATGCCATCAAATATACAAACGAACGGAATAGGAAGATTCTACAGAGCATAACAGAACGAGTACTTTGGGAAGGAAATATAGGATCAAAATGATAGATGTTGAATTTCATGTCGAGGCGTCAAATTACCAGTTGATACTTCTTTGGTTTCACCAGCACTTTTGAATTTTATTTTTTTGTGTGTGCATTGCAAGTTAGTAAAACACGATATATCAGTTTCACGGGTCAAATCCATACCTTATACCGCAGGGCAGCAGCATTTTTCCTGGTAACCCGGACACGACTGCAAATGGCATTCTCCGTTCGGGCAATATTCATTTATTGGCACACACTTGCCATTGATCGAAGCACAATCCGCTGTGAACAAGAAAACATTGCTTTCGTATGAGCTATGAAAGACAGAAAAGAGCCATAACACAAACAAAACCTGAAGAAAAAAAATAATTTTAGCTTAGATAGTCTAAATAGCATTTTTGACCGTGAGAAGGGTCGTGTTTTCCATACATTGACGGTGATATATCGTCTTCATGTAATGTTCCTGGTGTGTCTTTTAGGTGTATAATCCCGCGCATATTTTTACCACATGTTTAAACATTCCACGTATCTTCTTTGTCTCAAGTTGCAGTTGCGAAGTAAAAACATCTGTCCATATAGACATATTTACTTTTATTTTCTTAATTTCTTGAAGAAGGCCAGTTAAACTAGCCGAAACGTCAATATAAATCAATTCAAAGTTTTAACGTCGGAAGAATCCCGGAAAAGAGAATCTAGGTCCACAACATACTTTTAAAGAACGTTCAAGCCCAAAAAGTTTCCGTGTAGCGATTTTTTTAAAAAACTTTACCACAATACAGTAAGGAGTAGGGGTCACCGAGCTCGTTTTTGAAATAAGGCGCATTGAAGACCATGCGTTCTTAGAAGCTTTTAAAATTTTGTTATTTCAGGACGATCTTGGCTTACAGCTTGTCAGCAATAAAAGAAGGTCAAAAAGCTACATCAGTGAAAATAAGATCAGCTAAACGTACTCAATTCGACACAGCTAAGTATATTAAATAACCTTTCCGGCAGATGTGGTTTATTGAGGTAGAACGGGCATTGAAAAAGAATACATATGTATTGGTCTTTCCCGTCCACATTCGAAGAAAACCTCTTTCATACCAGAACAGAAACGTTTTTTCGTTTTTTAAAACAAATTGGAGAAAACTGGGAGAGGTATTGACCTATGAAAAGAAAAGAGGGGGTCGCCGACCTTTTAAGAGCGTAAACGGTGACGTTGCGACATGAATTAAGAGCGCAGTTAGGATGCGCAGTAGCAATGAGCGCGTACATTCTTAAATATATAATCCGAGCAAGAACCACTTACATCCGGGTTGCCGACGGAAGAAATGAGGCTTCCCTGGGTGGCGTGCTCCCTGCACGGTAATGGTTCCCAAAATAATCAACAACAGACACAAATGAAACTTGGCAGCCATAATCTTCCTGCAAC